AATACAATGGTCATATATATTTAAGGTTCAGTGTTGTATTTTTACACTGATGACGTTTTACACATCTTCCAAACGCAGCCCAATATCATTTGTAAAACAATAACCATGAGAAATAATGAAAAACAAAAACAAAAAAAAGGGGATGGGAGAATGAAGGAAGAACAGTGGTGTAAAAATAAACAAAAGAACCTCACCTCTGTGTGATGAAGATTGTCGGTGCTGCTGCTGTGGAGTGGGAGAACGGTCCATAGAAGAAAGATGGGTTTGTGCGTGTTTGGGATGATTTAAGGTGCAGGGTAATTTTGGGTTTTTTGAGTTCTTACATGGGCACCGCTAGAACAAAAATTTCGTGTGCTACCTCCAAATAAATTGGAGGAGTTTTCAGATTTTGGTTCCTCTATTCAGATGTGCAGCTGAACACCATCGAGCGCTACAAAAGAAGTTTTTCGGCGTTTGGTGGTGTATTGAGTGCTATCGAACACGACCTTAATCTGATTCTGCTTTAACTTTTTAAACTACAAAAAACTAAAAATCTCAATTACTTTTATATAATAAATTAATATAAATATACATACTGAATTTATTATATATATAATATATAATATTTTTATAATTTTAAATATAATTATATAAAATTATATATTTAAATCAATAAATATTATAGTATAATAGGATTGGGATTCTAATTGGATCAAATGGATTCAAATCTGAAACCAATTCGATTATTAATCAAATGAAAATTGCAAAATCCGAATCCAAGATAATCAGATTGGATGTCAGATTGGGCTGTGGACTTTTAGGTATCATTGACTCTCTTCAATAAGATCATACTTAGCTCTCTCTCTCTCACACACACACACACACACTTCTCAACCCCTTTTGCTCTCAATTAATTAGATGGATTGAATCAAGTTAAGGGCCAATCTATGACCAACTCTAAATATGAACCTTAGTCCAAACCCAAATTGATGCCAAAAACCTAATATGTGCCCAACTCTAGACCTTAGCCTAAAGCAAAATTCATGACAAAAAACTAAATTTGCCAACCAAAACGCAAAACCTAACTTTTGCCTAAATCCCCCATAGGGGCTATTTGAAATGTACAACACCATACTAATAGCCCATTCCCCAAAGTTGGTGGTAGCGGGAACCGAATTTGTATCCCTGTTGGAACAAACCGAAAAAACATACCAACTAAGACACCACTTAGCTGACGCCCAACCTTAAATATGGACTAAACCTAAATCGAAATTGATGCCAAAAATCTAAATTTGCCAACCAAAATCTAACTTTTACTCAACTCTAAATATGGACCATAGCCTAATCCTAAACTGACACACAAAAAACAAAACAAAACAAAAATTGTCAACCAAAACCTAATTTGTGCCCTACTCTAAATATGGACCTTACCTTTAATCCAAATTGACACCAAAAATTGTCATATCATGTTCATTCTTTTAAAGGGCATTTAGGGGTAATCTATCCAACAGATCCAAGAGACTCGATTCGAACACGTATATGGTCTTTGTTTGCATTATGTATCCCAATTACAGTAGATTAGGATTGGTTTTGATTATTCCTAACCAATAACCGACTGTGATTGGCAAGTAGGGACTTGACTAAAAGAGGGGTCTCTTGTTGGAGTATTGCAAAAGGGGATAAGGTTGATATTTGGGATGATCCTTGGATAGTGGGTCTCCCAAATTTCAAGCCTATAGGCCCATGACCTAGTCCTAGTCCTACTTCCTAGGTGGTGAAGACAAGCTGATTGGGACTCCGGGTTCAAATGACAAATTTTCTGTTAAAGCTCAGTTTGGAAGGAGTATAAATACAAATATGCACAGGACAAATACATATAAAATATAAGGATTTGCACTCTACATATTTATATTGTACTCTTTCCAAACTAAGCCTAAATCTACTTATCAGGTATCTGTAAAAAGGAAAAAGTGGCTCATCTGAACAAAGCTAGCCCATCCCTTCTGCCCTCCAATCTTTGGAAGAAACCTAGGCAATCAGGGTCCCTGCAAAGTTGAAGCTTTTCATATGAAAATGCTTCATAAAAAGCATAGCAGTGAATCAAAATCTGCAAAGGAGGGGATTTAAGGCAGATGCAAATTGTCCCATATGTGATAGTGATGATGAAAATATCATTGATGCCCTATGCCCTGTTCTCCTATGACCATGCAAGGGCAACTTTGTTTGGCTATAGCTCGAGTTTTACTTTTTCTAATATTGAATCCTTTGATTCCTTTGCAGATTGGTGGTCTTGGTGGTTAAGCCAAGATTTCTCCTTTGCTGATATGGCTGATTCAGTTTTTGAATTATATGCCTATGTTTTGTGGACTAATTGGAAAGGCAGAAATGGCTTTATTTTTTAGGGGGTGTTGCCTAATCCCATTGTCTCTGTGTTCTATGTGAACAAATGGATGAGAGAAGTGAGGAAAGCTTCCATACAAGAATCAACCGAATGTTCTCCGACCAATCCTTTAGCTATTAAGAATTCTGAGGAATTTCCTGCAAATGTAACTTTTTATAAAGCGAAAACATATGGTGGCTTTTGTAATTCATAGTGGTTATGTTTTTTGGATTACAAATTCCTATGGTCTTTTTTTGTTGGTAAAGTGTGGGCCTTGCAGGGCTGTCTGGTAACTATGCTGAAGTTACTGCTATTTTGGAGTGTTGTATTTATGCTTAAACTTGGGCTTCAAGTTCATTTCCTTGGATTGTGATTCTGCTAATATAGTGAATGCTATTAATCAGAGATCCTTTCCTTGTCCGCCTTCAATGTGGCCGTTGTTGCAAGATTTGTATAGCCTAGATGGTTTGTTTCTCAGGTTGTCCTTTTTTTAATAGAGCTGAAAATAGTGCAGCTCACGAATTAGCAGAAAAAGGAAGATCTAGTTTAGATGGTCGGCTTCGTTGCTGGTTGGAGGCAAATTTGTGGCCTCTAGTAGCAGTGGCAATTGGGTGGGTTCAGTTGGGTTTGGTTTGGGTTGAGCTTCAACCCAACCCATCTAACTCGCCAACCCATTAATGACTCAGTTATATAAAATTATCTGAGATCAACCCAAACCTGCTTTGACCCAACCCAACCAATTAACCTTGTATTTATGTAATTAAAACTAAAAATTAACTTCCTTTAAACAAATAAGTTGGTTATAGTTTGGTGGTAATAGTAATTGTTATTTATATAAGTGGTGAAGGTTCAAATCAAATTACATGCATATTATATTTACAAGGAGAATAAAAGGCAGTTAATCACTTGAAGTCATTTAACTATGTTAGGGTTTCGGGTTTGAATGAACCACTCAGGTTCAAATTGGTCAGACCAACTTGAACTATCTAACTGGTTCAATTTGTCTTTGAGCTAATCACTTCAAGAGTGGTTGAACCATTTGAAGTCGGATTAGTTCGGTCGAACCAAACCAAACTGGTTCAATCAAATGACTACGGATGGCAATTTTTACCCTCCCCGACAAGGTGGGTTTTTTTGCTTAAATGGCGGGTTTGGGGCGGGTATGGGTTTTGGGATTCTACAACCCTTGCGGGTACAGGTAAGGAATAGTATTAGGCAAACCAAACCCTCCATAACCCGCATATTATTGGAAAGCATATAAACTTTATGTACTAGGTGTTGAATTTAATAATATTTTGAATTTTATGTAAATGATAATTGATAGTTTATGTGTTTTTTACATGTCTTAATCAAATAATTAGAAATTTTGATGTTTATTTGTGTTTTACTAATTTATTACTTATATATGACAAGAAATAATAGAAAATTAGATGCAAGTTTTAAACCCAAACCGCCCTACCCTTGAATGTAGGGAGGGTAGGGTCGGGGAGGGTTTTGCACTTTCATGTGAAAGAAGGGTTTGAATTTTCAAAATCCAACCCGCTCATGTCAAGTTGGCTCATACCAACCTGGGTCGGGTTGAATGCCTAAAACCGAACTGAATTCGAGTCGGTTCAGAACGTGCTGAGTTCAAAGTGGGCTGAACTTATCCGAACTCAAGTTGGATTGATTTGATTTTATGTTGATTTAGGTGAAGTGTGTTGATTCGAAGTAAAACTAATTTTAGTTAATAATTAATAAAAAAATAATGCATTACTTATAAATTATTTTACTAAAATAAAGAAAATTAAAAAAAAAAAGGCTAAGAAATTCATACTTGTATATTTAATGGTTAACCCAATGGTTATCCACAACCCGACCCAACCCAACGGGTGATCAACCCATTTTCAACCCACAGCACCCACCAAATAAATGGGTGGGTTAGATGGATTCAGCGGGTTGAGTGAGATATTGCCACCCCTAGCCTCTAGCAATCAGCGAGGTTCCTAAACGGCTTAGGGTGGTTTTTCTGTAATTTATCTGTTTCTTTACCCCAAAAAAAAACAACGTTATACCAATCTAATACCTGTTTTCTTACGAGAAGAAAGTTTAATACCTACTTTTAAGAAATACAATATGATATATCTATTTTTTGGCCCCATGGAGGAAAAAAAGTTATCGTCAAATTAGAGGTTAAGCATAGATATGAATTATAATAACATCAGACCTCATAGTCCTGGTTCAAAACTGGTGTTGCACATTTTCTTTTCGTGGCAGGTCTGACTTACCTTTACCCAGACCCGACCCGACCCATTGACAGGACTGGCATCAAATATGCATTAACTGATATAGATATGATACATACCCAGCATATATGTCATTTTTTAGGGAAAATCTATGCTGTAGAGAAAACAAGATACCGAAAGAGCTTTGACGAATCAAACACCCCCTTCCCCCGGCGGTTACCACTCATATGATATTGGTTCGGTTTATTGGTTACAAGTTTTTTCCTGTATCATCCCCCCCACCCCACCAAGTTTTAACCTTCTAATGCCAAAAAACGAACCACTTTAAAGCCAGCTTTCCAGAACTTTTTCTCAATGATACCATATCAACCAGAAAATTAAGAAAAAAAAAAGTAAATAATAGAATTTGCAGCATCAGAACAGAAACCACGACGATATCATTTTATTCCATGGATCCCAAATTCCCAATAGGTTATGAATATACAGATGAAAAGAAAAGCTTGCACCACAGCTAGAATCTTTCCTGGTTTGCAAACAATGATTCCAATCTCTGAACAGACACTGCAGTAACTACAATGTTTATGACCAAAACTTTTACATAATACAACTTAGTCGTCGTCGTCATCATCATCATGAGTTACTTACTGACCCTCCCAAAAGCAAACGTTAGGACCATAGACGAATGAATGGTTTCATTAAGGAGCAAAATATTTTGTTCCCCAATCTTAAAAATGTTAAATAGGAACTTCTACTCCATAGTGCTGAACACCACACAAGGAATAATGTATACTACCTCATCATTCTCAATCATTAACGGAGTACGGAACAAAAAAACAGGCATGATTACCTTGCCTTTCTTATGAACGTATGGTGTTGTAAAGAGTTCCATCAACTCAAGCTTCATTGACTCAAGACCCCATAGTAGAGTCTGATATCAGTCATCATAGTGTATGAGGTTGTGGCTCGGGAGGGAACAGAGTGACTAGAAAGCGGTGTATCATTTCAAAGCTGGTGAATGTGATTACAGCAGCCGGGGTGGTCCTAAGCAGGTTGGTGGCACACCCACGGTAAAATCCAGGGATACCTTCTTTCTGAAATACTTTTTTGATGCAGTCAATAACACCAGAATATCGCTTCTCTGAGTGGTGGCCTTGTTCTTGAAGCCTTGAGCGCACCACCTGGTGAAGAGGGGTGTCAAGTAACATGTTAATGGCACTTGACACAATAAACACAGTTGATTAAATGATAAATTGCATGATTAAAAGAGTGCAAGCCAAAACCTTTTTGTGTGGCTGCTGCTCGACAGCTGCACATGTTACTCTATCATTTTAATTAATAATTTTTTTACGTTACCAATAAAAAAAAAACCTTCAGTAAATAGAATTTCTTCAAACAATAACAAAAAAAAAAATCTTCAGCAATCAAAGGGGGGATGGTATTGATTTTTTTAAAAAGTATTGTATATTAATAAACAAAATTTATTCAAAGGTCCTAATTTAAAATTTGGTAGAAGACATCAAAGGGAAAAAGAAAAACATAGAATTTGCCCAGGTTCGGTAGTGGAGTTCATGAAGAGTTGGATAGAAGGGCAGTCTAAAAGGGGGAAGGCTGGTCTGGAACCTGCTGTGGTTTTTTGGTGTGTGTGACAAGAAAAAAAGAAATGCAAGGATTTTTACGAGTAAAGCAGTTCTATAATCTCTAACTTCTACTAACTCTATATTTCAGAAGGCTTTGGAAATATGTTTTCATAGCTAGCTATACACAAGTAGTTTAAAAATACAAATTATGATTCCTTTTGTGTACATGGAAGCCTTTCTGTAAATCAGGATTTGGGATTGTAACGCTGCAGGGGTAGCTTTTGTAAGCCCTGGATACAGAAAACTTGTTGTACATGTTTTGTTTTGTTTTTAATATAATACCGTACTTTTCTTTCTTTCAAAAATCAAAAAGAAAAGAAAAACATAGAAAGGGTAGTTATTTTTGCATGTGTGCATGTGTTCGGGAGGAGGGAGATAAGAAAGTTTTACTGAGAAATTGGCCATATCATACCTCATGTGGATACGTCAATGTGGATGCAGCTATTTTGGAGACTGATGATGCAACAGCAACATCACGTGCACTGAGGGTATCTGTGGTAGTCTTATCTGATATTGTAAACATAAATCAACATGGATTTAAGAATCTCCTTAAATGGGTAAGTGGGTTGAGGAGTACCTCGCTTGGCCAAATATATTTTGATTTTCTCATATGTAGGGAACTGGATGGCAACATGGCTAATTCCTGCCAATGCTGGTACAAGACCACTGTTCACCACATACAAATAAGAAACGTCAGTTATTGGCAGTAAAGAGTTCATTCATCAACATCCATCTTTACGGGAAAATGATCAGCAACCTGTATAATCCTCGAATACCCTCCTCATGAGCTATTCTCCTCAATGCAGAGAGAGTACCCCGATATGGCACCACTCCTCCCCTCGTTCCTTGCGTCTACAAAAGAGATGAACAAAAAGGTAAACCCCTAAAACTTCAATAAGTTTGCTCATGAGCTATTTCCACATTAATCTTAACCACTGTTCTAAAAACTGGACCAACCTGGCTAGTTGAACCAGGTAAAATAGGAACTGGGCCTCTTTCCAGTTCAATGCCCAGTCCAGTTTTCAAAACATTGCTAGAAATAGCACGCACCACCAAAGAATTGAACTTTTAAGCATATGGATAAAGTAGCACAACAAGAGAGAGAGAGAGAGAGAGAGAGTATCTGCAACCGACATGGAGCAACAAGGGCACAAACAGTTATATGCCTTGTTTGTCAAGTTAACATGGTAACAAGTGTAATTTGCTTCAACAATGATGCTTCTCAAAATTCAAGTCAAATGCCATGGTGAGATTTCATGTACTCTATGGCACTTAAAAGGTTTTCATCCAAAACCACCTACAAATAAGCATTCCTCTTAGTTGACAAATCCCATCTGCTGTTGATCATGTGGACATTGTTGTAATGTTATCAAATAAGCTAGAATGGAATAAAATGGAGATGAATCATGAGTAGATCTGCTTAAAGAATCTGAACCTATACTGGATTCAGAAAATGGCCAATGAGTTTTTCCTTAATCTCAAAAGGGAAAAAAACATTGTGCTCCTAATCACAAAGGGGCAGGGTAAAAGCATTAAAAAAAGATGCTGATTTCCATTACCTAAAGGAGATGCATGGATATGAACCAAGGACAAAAAAAGGATCTTTTTTTGTAAACCAGGAATCAACTTACAATGTCACTTTTACCAAAAAAAATTACAATGTCATGGGCTCAGTTTAACTTGTAAGAAAAGAACTCCAAGAGAGGGTATATCTTTTATAAGCACTGAAATAAGTACATAAAATATATAAATTACATATGATTTCTTATATGCTATTATCATAATGCATCTTGTTCAGAGAGAAGGACTAGTATGTTGAAATTACTCATTTTTACCAATATAATATAAGCATGGTTCATGACATACCTGAAATCTTGTCTTGACAACCCAAAGAGGATTGGTAGCAATGGTTGTTGCAGCTCCAGCACCAGCAGCAGCTATCATATTTGCACCAACTGAGAGTTGATGGTTCCCATCTACACAAACATCATGGCTTAAAAAATGCATATTTTAAATTAAATGTTTTAAAAAGCCTATTAGCTCAAATTAAAACATACAAAACATATTGTGAGTGAAATGTAAAATTAAAATTAAGATAACATATAAAACATATTCAAGCACTCAACAATTCAAGTATGTAAAACTTTCGATCTCTTTATTTCTTTCTAATCGCATTACCCTAATTCTTCAAGCCACTTTATACCATACATAAAATATTGGTTTTTAATTGTAATTTTAGTTTATCTTCAGAAAAAAAAAAAGTGTTGTATTAAAGGATGAATAAATAACATTAGTAAAAAATACCATGCTTAAAAAGGGTAAAAAGCACAAATTTTAACTTAGGCGCACACCTGAGCTGAGGCGCAAAGCACACCAGGTGTGTGCCTTTTTCAAAGGAGCTGAGCCTGGGCCAAGGCAAGGCATAGACCTTGAAATATGCCTCACCTTTGCACCTTGGTATTCCTGAGGCACACTTCTTTTAAATAACTGGGGATTGGCTACCTCATGTACTACTGCTTGAAAAATAAATGATCTACTGTGTCTGTGGGCTAGATTTACTTCATGAAACTGGTTTTTGAATCTGGTACAAGGAATCTAATATGATGATTCAGGTACAACTTGAATGAATAGAGTTGGAATATACTCCAACCTTTGACACAATTCATTTTTTCCACACATAAACTGAAGAATCTTAAATAATGAGAGAAGAAGTGTTTTTGCTAATTTTGTCACTTGGGACCCAAGAAAAAAGTTTCAATTGCTCTGCAGTCCAGAAATCAACTGAATCACCTACTCCAACCATTTAAAAGACCTGCAACTCTGTGGTCACTATAGTCATCTTTCATTTATAAAAATATTGACTGCAGAAAGGAGCTTTTCTCTGTGGGGCTTGCTATCATAATTATGATGCACCATCAAGTTTCAAAGTATTAGTATTGCAAAGACTATTCAAAGTCTATTTAAAATACAAATATCAGAATACACATTGCATAGCTGTGGATACAGTAGAATGATTGTGCACTTGGGGAACTCATAAAAAATCCCACAAAAATACATCAACAATGCTAAATCTAAGGCTCAAATTACTATGATAAGGTTTATGGGAATGGTTCTTCTCTTTGTTTTGATGCAGGTGGACCCCGCCACCAGATGTGAAAAGTTTATTTGCTCCTACTTTCTTCAGATTGCAAAAGAAAAGGGGAAGACTAATGTTGGAAGGTGTAGGGGCTGCTGTTAGCTGGACCATTTGGGAAGAAAGAAATTCCAGAATATTTACAGGGAAGGAGAGAAGCAAGGAAGCCATCCAGGAGATGATTTTTATCAAGGTAGTACATTGGCTTAAATCTATGGAGCTATTCAACGTGTCAATGGATGATCTGTCAAGAAAGTGGAAAGAAGTTGCTGATTCAGCTCCAGGTCAGGAGGTATCAGTTCCAGTCCCCCCCGCCCCCCAAGTGGCTTTTACAAAATGAACTTCAACAGAAGCAGTACTGGTAACCTGGGGCCATCAGGTATTGGGGGCATTTTTAAGGGATGAGAAAGGGAAAATAATTGCCTTGTTCTCAGGCCCAATTGGAGCTGGTGACTCCCTTAGAGCTGAGCTTTTGGCGGCATCGGAAGGTGTTCAGAGCAGTGATTAAAAAGGTGCGCCTAGGCGCACAGGCAAGGCGCATTTCAGGGTATGCGCCTCGCCTAGGCGCACAGGCAAGGCGCATTTCAGGGTAGGCGCAGGTCCTAGGCGCAGTCCTTTCAAAAGGCGCACGCCTGGTGCACCTAGGCGTGCGCCTGATGCGCCTTGCACCTCAGCTCCGAGAACCCCCAATTTGGTAATGTTGTTCATTCATTCATCCTAATAAAATGCCTTCTTAAAAAGCAAATAAAACTACAAAATCATTATTTTTTGTGTGAAAACTAAGAATTTAAGATCTAACGTGGACTTGTTTAGGCTTGCCTCGAGGGGCGTGGCACAAAGGCGGCTCGTAGAATCAGGAATGTAATATGTTTTACATTACATTAGCTACGTGAAGTAATGGAATTGAATGAAAAAAGAGATTAGAGGTTTTAAATGATTGAAAATGTTTTATATGTTTGATTTTATTTTTAAATTCTCATTTGAATATGCTTTACATAATTACATTTTATGTTTATGTATCCTAATTTTAGATAATAGGTTTTTTAAAATTTAAGTTTATATTTTTTTATTAATATTATGTTTAGTATTTTTATTTTTTGGCATTTTTTTTAATTTTCTGACATTTTTTTATAATTTTGTGCCATGCTTCAAAAAGGCGCACGCCTCGCCTTGCGCCTTGCGCCTTGTGCCTCAGGTGCAAATTGACCCCTGCACCTTGCGCTTTTAAAACACTGGTTCAGAGAGCTATAGACATAAATATAAAGAAGCTGATCATTGAAGGAGACTCAAAGCTGGTGGCTGAAAAAAGACATGGAAGTAAAAGTAAATTGGGTTAAGAGATGTGCAAACTCCTTTGCTGATGGGTTAGCAAAACAAGGGGTAAATAGGGGTACTTTGTTTTGGGCTCAACTGTAATTTTTCCGTGTTGTTTGTTTCTTGCTGGGGGAGATAAGAGAGGTTTATCTCCTCCCTTTGTATCCATAATTTTCTCCAACGAAATTTTCGGTTGTTGATAAAAAAATACTATGATAAGGCACAAATTCATGAAAAACACATACTTAAATGGTTTATGCTAAGTGCAAACTACCATTTGCAATAGTAGACGAAATAATAATAAAATTTAATTGTATAGCTCAGGAAACCACCACAAATTTTATTAACACTTTGAAAATTAAAGCCCATATTATTTTTGGAATGTAGTGGTGGTGAAGTGTAGTGACGAGGATGCTTACAAGTCATATAGGAAACCTGTGTTCAAATCCAAGCCATAACATAAATCTTTATAATAGGAGAGCTTAGAGTATAATAAGGCCTTAAATAAGGAAATTGTTAGAGATTAATAAGGTATGCATATTACTAGGAGTTTCAAATTCAAAAAAACCCTATTAATAGGAGGTTTTGATAAGGAATATAGTGTCACTAGTGCTTTAAATATGACAGATTTGAATAGGAGAGTTTAATAAGGGAAAGGGTAATTGATGGATTAAATATGGAAGTAAATATAAGTATAATTAATGCAATTAAATATGGGGGATTTAGCACTATGTATCGGCTGATGCATTGGATGTAAGTGAATGGCATTGAAAATGAACCATTCCAACTGTTCGACGTCTCAGTCTCCTCAAAAACTTAAAAATACACTGTACTGGACATATTGTATCCATATTTTGAACCTTGCCCACCATGCCTAAATGCTTGGTGACCTACATTTCTGACAAGTTACAACAGCTTGCTCCTAATGAAGCCCCAGTTGACCCAATACAGATCAGAGTTTCATTACTGCAAATGAGCTGAGCTATGTTCTTGCTCCCCTTAATGGTAGTTTGTCATTGATGCCATGAATTACTCAACATGGATCTAGTTCACTTTCACTCTACTGGCCAGTGTTACCAGGAAACCTCAAGACCAATGGGTCCAGCCATGCAACACCTGTCCATTGGCACAATAAAATTCTTGAATATTGGTGATGCTCCAAACTGAAGCCAACAATCCCCCTCCCAATGTTTATATGAAATTATTTATTTGTTGGTTTGCCCCTGGACATTAGCTCTGAAGATTGACATGCTGGATGCCTGTGGGCACCTGAACACTTGGCACTCATGCCAAATACCAAGGTAACACTGCAGTCATGACAATCTCAAATGCAACATATGCAAGCGAGAGTTCCTTCCATTGCATTATTCTCATCAAATCAGATTGAAGAAGGAACTTATCAGGGAATATTTATCTCAAAGGGATGGGCTTTTGTGATGTACTAGGAATTGACCATATCAACTCCAACCACTTTCTGCAAAGCATCCCAGAAAAAAAAAAAAAAAAAAAAAAAAAAAAAAAAGATCCCATCATTTTGGAATAGAAATCTTTGAATTATAATTCCCAAAGCCAACAGAAATTTGGACGCAAAAACATCCTGAGGGGTAATGAAAAAGAAAGGCTATGCAGGTTGAGTGAACTAAAGGAGAAATTAACTGACCATCAGTGTAAAGCAAGCCTTTAAGCTGCTCATACATCGTGAAATATACCTGAAAAATCATATGGCAGCAGGTTACACAAAATAAATAATGCAATCTACACATAATTCTTTATCAAACCTTTTTAGATGTTAAATAGAAACAAAATCAATAAGGTGAATAACTTTGGAGGAAGATATAATAAAGAGCATAAAGATTCCACAAGGCATGCCATTATTGCAAACTCATCATTAACTCTATTCTCCAAAGTGAATAGATTAGAAACAGAGTTGACGCTATACTGCATCAAGTATGTACTATGTATACAACCACAATAAATACATAAATAGGTAGAACAAATAATATATGCTGTGATATGTATTTGTAAGAGTGCAAGGGTATACTTGTTATCCTCTTCTGTGTCATCCTAAATAGAGTGGGTGCCACCAGTCCCACTAAGATAAACTTTGCAGGTCTATGAATGCATTCTTTATCCATACAGTACTTCTAACATTTCCTCGTTAGACCACAGGATCGTATCAATTTGATGCAACACAGTTTAAGACAATTATAAAAGTTTCCAGCAGTAGATGGTTTACAATCTCAAATATGAAATATGAGATTAACAATATAACATATCCAAGCTTGCCTTGTGTTCCAAATTTCCTCTCAATACCCTATTTTCCCCTTATTTTCTTTTTCTTTTTGACTGTCTTCTAACAGCCTCCAGGGCCTCTAAGAACCTAAATTCAATGATTCTGCCAAGATTCCCCAAGAAGCATTTTTCCCAGTTAAGTACAAGCAGATAGCTGACACATAATAGAATGAGGCAGATCAACATGTTCCAGCAGTCCAAAAAAAAAAAACATTCATTAGAGTTTCAGGGGAATGTCCACCACATGATACAGAGATAACATTAGATGTAGAAACAAGTTAATGATGGATATAGCCCTTTCATCAAGACCTTTCACAATATGAAACCAACATCACAAGTGCTGTCCTAATTCTCTAAAAAACAAAAACAAAATAATAATCAGCATAATTAGTGAAGTGAATGATGGTTATTTTTGTCCTTATTTACGTAGCTTTGCCCCAATAGCACGAAGATATATTGGAGGAGGATGACTGACCGCCCAGTTTGGAAGTAAAGCCAATACAGTGGGAGAAAGCCCACGGTACATGCCACGCACTCCCTCTTTTTGAAATATTTGTTCCAAACTTCGTACTATGAGGCTACCTGGGTACATGTAGATCGCCACCCATTAACCACGCTTTAAGAAGCTAATGGAGAAGCAAAAGAAACAGCAGATACACTCGCGTAAAGAAAAGAAGATAAATACAGCTATGTAATAGTATCTACTTGCAAATTGAAATACTCCTTGGATGGGATCTTGAACTATCATGGGTTACCTGAAGTTTCTAAGCTACTGAATGTGGAGATCCATAACCTAAATTGTAATAAAGAGTATAAACATTTTACTTTCTAACTAGAACAGTATATACGATTATTTGAAAAATAAGAAATAAACATCATAACTAGATCATCTGATATCTATCCATGCGTGATCACCACGGCTGCAAAGGAGAGAATTAAGTGGGAACTTAGAAAATAATTTATATAACAATTTGAGTACGAGTCCCCAAATTACGTACCTTTAGTGGTTCCACCACCAAGATTAGGAATCCCATGGACCTGAAACCTTGTCTTGATGACATCCAGCGGACAAACAAATGTTGCAGCGATAGCACCTACATGGTTTTCCCAATCCAATAATAGGATAAGAATTAAAAGCAAAATAAGAATGAAATCAAACTCCTTCGTGTCCAACTTCAAAAAGGTGAAAAAAGAAGAAGAAGAATAAGAACAGGAGAAATTCAAGGTACCAGCAGCAGCGCCAGCGCCAGCATTGCATAGAAGGCCCTTTGTATTAGGGCCATGAGACTCGCCAGGCATCGCTGAAAACCGGATACAAAAATCGAGAAAAGTTGCGTTTGTAAGCGAAATCTTGGGAGTCCTCTCTCCAGAGGGTGATTTGAGTGAACCAGGGTCGCATGGCCAGAAGACAGAGCTGTGAATTCCTCCTGAAAAGCAATCGACAAGAACGACTTGGGGCCCGTCAAGGAACGAAAGAAGCTGTCACAGGAAACTAGGGTTTCGATGAGATATGAGGAGAGTACAAGCTAGCCACGGAAGCCCCATCTTCACAGTATGCAAAGACAAAGAAGATGGTCGCTTTTCCTTCCTACCTCCCTCTCTTTCTCTCTTGGACGGCTGGTTCCCCCGGAATCGCTCCCGTCGCTTCAAGTGTGAAACAGATACATTTTGTTATCGGAGAGTGGAGAATGATTCAGAGGAAAACTACAACAGTAACACCGAAGAGTTATAAGCTACCCATGAGGCCATGAGTCCCATGACCCATCCTCATCCTCAGAGTCTCAGACTTGAATCTATACAACATGATACCACCGTCTATGATGCTCATCTAACGGCATATATTAGATATCGTTATTTCGATGATGAAATGCCGATTTCTGTAATTAACGGTGATGAAGCTACGTGTATATCTAAGGCCCCGTTCGTTTGTAACGGTGCAGCTTACCAAGTGTTCTTTTTACCCATGTTTTTTTCATTTTAGGATTTTCAGATAAATAATAAAATAACATTTCTATCCATTAAAGTAACTCTTAAAATGGATAAGTTTTATGTAAGAAAGTTGATGGGAAAAAGTTACTCATTGACCAATTTTTTATACTACGAGGGCTATGACAAAACCCCTCTTTACTATAACCGTGAAACAAAAACCTCATTCTGTTAGCTTTTGGTTGAAATCCGCTTTTATAATTTTTTTAATCCTCATACTATCCTTTCAATAACAAAAACACTATTACGATATATGAACAGCAGCGAAGATAAGAGGAGAAAAAGGGGGGAAATCGGGGATTACCGCCGCTGCTGTGATGGTTGGTGTGAAAAACTGGGCTGGGGGTAGCGACGATGATGGATTCGCCCCACTGTCTGAGGACATAAAAAAAATAATGAACAGGAAAGTGGAGCGAATGGTTGGTTTGAGAAACTCAAGAAAAAAATCTCCAATTATTTCAGACAATTGTTGTAGTTGTTTGCTTGAATTCAATTGAAGTTTTATGTACTATAGTACTGAAGCTGTAAGTTGAAGTACTTTTGGGGTTGGGGCCATTTCAAAGTAAATTGCAGTCAAATTATTTTTCTGTTTTTAACTTTTTATCGAATGGAAAATTGCATTTGACAAGAAGAGAGGCAACGAAACCACTGCCCCCAACGACCTAGGCCATCCTTTTTGACACCATCTCTAGTTGCGTGGCCATGTTTCTACGATGGACGCAACATCTGCAGTGGCAACAGCGACAACGTTCAAAATCGTCAGGGGCCTTGCTTCTTCTACCACCTGCAGAACAGCGAAGCCAACAACTTTGATTCCTCCAGGGGCCTCCACCAGGCCAGGTGTGCTCGCTCTCTGTGCCTGTGGCATCACCGGCACTGGTACTGTGGCATCACCGGGAGTGCCCAAGTCCTATATCTAGAAATGGTTTTCCCTATCTCACTCGTTGCTCAACAAAATCAGACATTGGCAGCGATAACACAACTAACAAGAACCCAACTGTCGATACATGTTCCACTTCGACTACCCAACAACCCTCGGCCCCCACGTAGATCCAAACACCTACTTCCTCTTCATCCTCTACTGGGTTGATGTTTGATTTGGGTTCTAACAACTGTTGGGACAGCCGCGAGGTTGGATATCCTGTCGTGAAAAGATATCTCAGTGACGATGCAGAGCGGTGGTATAGAGAACTTGCCGATCTCCCTTTCTCTCCTCCCCTATAGCCGTCGGAAGAGCAACCCCTCCTCCTCCACTTCCACCGCCACCTCTGCCTTCAAACCCATCACCGACTTCCACCGCTACAACTGCAATGGCGGATTCGAACTCAGCAACGGCGAATCCACCACCAGCCTCTCTCCATCTTTTATTATACATTTTCTTTTTCTATTTCTGCTCTTCCCACAGTTATCGCGCCCTCTGTCACTGCCGAACAAGTTGCTATCCCCCCTCTGTACTTCCGCCGAATCAGTCGCTACCCCCAGCCCAGTTCCTCTTCATCATCTTCGCACATTCTTCATCAGTCCAGTGGAAAATAGAACAGGACTCTGTAGAATCTGCAGCATTTGGGTTTTGGAGCACTTCTTATAGAGGAAGAAGAAAGATCGGGGGRGGGGGGAGAGAGAGAAAAATGTGAATCTGTTGTTGATGTATCGTGAGTTGGGGAAGATAAACAGTGTTCGGCAGATTTAAACGAAAAGCTAACAGAAGGGGGTTTTTGTCTTACGGTCATAGTACAGGGTGTCTTTGTAGTAAAATAAAATACACGGGTCTTTGTCACAGACCATAGTATAGGGGAGTCTTTCTAATGATCGAAATTCATCTTGAAATCATCAATTCACACTTTTTTTTTACTTTTTAGGATAAATTGCATATTATTACCAGTTTTGCACTCTTTATGGAACTTTTAAAAGTGCCACATTATTAGGTATATGTTTGGCATCAATGCCGCAAATGTTGAACCGTTTTGATGTGTGGGTTGGAACGGTGCCTTTTTTTCTGTTTAGAAATGTTGCTATCAGGTAAGACATTTCCTGGAGCAACAACAATATTTTTTGTTTGGTACCAATGCTTTAGGAAACGTTTTCAGCACTAGTACCCATTATCTAGTGTCACGTCACTACAACCTCACGTCCATGTTGGCAGCAACGAGTTGCAGCTTTAGGAAACGCCAAATTCGGCATTGTTCCAAGCCATGCCTTCATGATTTCCAAGGCGTGGCTTGGAGCACCGTTTTTTTTGACATGGCACCGTTTTTTTTTGACGTGGCACCAATGTGGTGTCGTTTTTTGGAGCAACGGCAATGATGCCAAACAAATGCTAGGTATATGTTTGGCATCATAATGTGGCATTGTTTCCTAGAGCAACAACAACGTTTTCTGTTTGGCACCATTGCTCTAGGAAACGTTTTCAGCACTGGTACCCATTATCCAATGCCACGTCACTGCCACCTCATGTCCATGTTGGCAACAACAAGCTGCAGCTCTAGGAAATGCCAAATTTGGTGTTGCTCCAAACCATGCCTTCACGATCTCCAAGGCATGGCTTGGAGCACTGTTTTTTATGGAAAAATGGTTCCAAACAAACGCCCATTTCCTAGAGCATCATTTTTTTTCAACATGACACTAATGTGGTGTCATTTTCTGGAGCAATGGCAACGATGCCAAACAGACGCTAGGTATATGTTTGGCATCAATGTTGTAGATACAACACCATTTTCAGCATGTGTGGGTTGGAAGCACTGTTTTCTGAGAAAATTGTCTTTTTTCTGTTTGGAAACGTTGTTGTCAGTTAGGGCGTTTCCTAGAACAACAACAACACTTCCTGTTTGGTACTAGTGCTCCATGCATGTTTTCAGTGCTAGTACCCATTATAGGAAGTCCACGTCACTGCCACATCACGTCCTCGTTGGTAGCAAATAGTTGTAATCTAAGAAAATGTCAAATTCATCATTGCTCCAAACCACGCCTTCTCGATTTCCAAGGCATGGCTTGGAGCACCATTTTTTATGAAAAAACGGTACCAAACAAACATGTGTTTCTTAGAGCACCGTTTTTTTCTAACGTGGCACTGATGTGTCACTGTTTTCTAGAGCAACGTCATAAATGCCAAACACACTAGGTAAGGTGATGTTTGGCATCAATGTTGATTCTTTTTTATCAATATTTAAAAAAAATGGTAATATTTGAAATTAATATTTTTTAAAAAAATCGATAAATTTTGTTATTTGGTATTGTAAGCCAATTTTTGAGAAATCAGCTTTGAGTCTATTTGGTAATGATTTACAAGGCCCAATTAATTTTGCATTGGAGTTATTTTTCAATGACACATAGGATGCCATGTCATCCTTAAAAAATCAAAAACAGTTGAAAATCAGGAAATCACCAAAAAAAGGTGAATATGTGATCCCTGAAAAAGGGTCAATTTCAAGAATCGGTTTTAGGTCGATTTTCTGAAAATCGGCCAACCAAACAAAAAATTTCAATGTTGATTCCTCTTTGATTATATTGAAAACAATAGTTATTTATTCAAATAATAACTTAAAATAATACTATATTTTTTTATCTTAATAAGTTAAACATTTTTAACTAATATTATCTATCAAATTTACTATTTCAAACATAAAACATGATAAAAAATTACAAGAAAGTTAAAAATTTTAAATATTTCCATAAAATAATTGATTCTGGATCTAAATCAGTTTTGGATAGGTAAGAACAAAAACCACCCAATTATTAATCAAGACAAAATCATGGAACCATAACTGTTATAATTATGTTCAATCAATTTAGCTCCATCGAGTAGATATAACCCATTGGTTCAGCCCTAGTTTTTCTTAAACAAATTAATGTTTATATAATAATTTATTAAATAAAATAAAATAAATAAATGATTAAATAAAAATTTATTGTGATGGGACTGGTATAGGCTATCTCGAACCAGACCCGATCCATTGACAACCCTAAATATTGGGCTAAGGGGAGAGAATAATTCATTAGTAAATTGTTTTAAAATAAATAAATAAATGAATAAATATTTATTAAAATATTTCTCTCAATGACAAATGAATAATAATAATAATAATAATAATAATAAAACAAATGAATAAATAAAAGTTGAGATAGAGTCTCAGATGAGAGAGAATTAGGCGAGAGAACAGGGATGACATTTTATTTTATAGGATGGCATAATCATAAATAATTATATGTGACAATCCTATAATTTTTGAATGACATAGAGTCAATTACATTATGTGGCAGTCTTGTAATTTTCTAATATCATAGAGGCAATTACATATGAGGTAAAAAGAGTAAATCTGCCTTATATGTGATAATTCTGTAATTTTTGAATATCATAAAGTCAATTATATAGGAAGGTTTGTCTTTATGTGGCATTTATGTAATCTTTTAGGCCATCTTTGTACATTTCATGGTCTTTGTTTGTGGGATACTATTTCTTGGAAGGAGAATGCATGACCTAACAGCTAAAAGATGATTTGAGCTTTTGCATTAAGATGTTAGCAACTTGAAGACCGTTTGGTTAAATGTGAAGACGAGTTGAAAAAAGACGAAGAACTCCATTTGAAGCATATCGAAAATAGTTCAAAACGGGCTTCCCGCATCTTTTCAAGGCTGCAGCTTTTGGCGATTAGATCTTTTCCCAACCAAACAGGAAAGATCCAAACACAAACTGCCAGACTTTTAAAAAACCAATAGCTCGTACAAAAAGACATGCCAAACAGAACTTTAATAAAACTCTTATCTTCACTTTTTTCTCATATGAAGTGGGGACCA